ATTCAGCGACCTCTCATGCCCTATGGATGAGGACATTGTTATTCTGGTAGGGACCGCTCCCATCATTGTAGAAATCTTTCATCATAGGATACAATACAACTTTGTGGAGACTCCACCCAGAAAGATCCCGGGTGTCCTCACCGGGATGCGCACCGGCAACCTTCCAGCTGTGAGGCAACGGTGCTAACCACCGCTCCACCTTGCAGCCCTTGTTAACACTGTAAAGAGAGAAAAGCACAAAACAAATCAAATTAACAATATAAAATGGAGGTAAAAGAAAAGTACATAAGACCAAAAAGGAAACAGCTTCACATAAAGGGAACTCTGAGGAAAGACTTTTAAGATGATGCTAACATCTACAACAGTTGCATCATCAACAAAATTCATCTAATTACATTTTACATCACAGCTAAGTTTTGGATCCAAAACACTGCTCGGTGCAACATCAAGTTTAGTTTATTGCCTCTAAGCAGCACATTTGATCTTATTATGTCCAGTTATGTATTTGTGGATATTGTGTTATGAAAGAACTTTTAAGGACTGGACTCAGCCCCCAGTGTGTCCAGATCCTAATGACGCCCCAGTATTAGGCTATTATAAGTCTGCACCTACAGTAAAGTCACAATAAAGTCTGATACTCAGCATCTGAAACATCAGTTCTCAGTGCTGACAGTGACTCTTGCAGATAAAAACTCAATGGAATACAAGCTGCAAATCAAATGCTGTCAAGGCTTTGAATTATCTAATTAAAAGACCACAGATTGATTAATTAATTCAAGTGCGGAAGTTGGAATTTAATCAGCAAAAGATACATGAAATACAGTGAGTGTTGATGAAATGGGATGCTTTCTGGAGCAATTTACAGAATCATTAAGTGCAGAATTGATGACTCCATCTTATACACAAAATGTCCTGATAGACACCTTCAATTTGATTATTATTATTACTCTTATTATTGTTGTTGTTATTGTGGTACAACAACAACAACAACAACAACAACAATAATAAACAGATAAATTAAAGAAGTTCAGTGATGTCAACATTTTAATTTTTGTGTCATCAAATAACCACAAGATGAAAATACAACAGCACAATTCATGTAGTTATGTGAGCCACTGAAACATTGTAGTTAGCACTGTATTTAGCACCCTCTGTTTTATTTGTTTGTTTGTTTTTGTTTTGTTTGTCAATTTATTAAAAAAACTATTTAGACCATGGCCACCACATAGGTCTACTTATCTATTAACTTAAACACATATTCAGTACTGATTTAGATTATTGCTCACATGTTGGTAGAAGAAATAAAATACCTACAAATATCCATCCAGAGCCGCTTTTGGTGTCTAATTAAGTTGACAAGCTAAAACATGACTAAGCTTCTTAGCTTGGTTACAGCAAGGTAGATGATAAAACATTTAAGAGATCTGATCCAAATTTTCAATGTTCTTTCAGCACATTGTTAATCATTTTTTCCAGTTAAAATGACTGAGCTGTGAACTATTTTACCTGCACTGATCAGCATTATCAACATGATTTATGACCCCTAGATCCATTAGGCCTGTCCTACCCTGTTTAATAAAACCCACAGGTCACTTACCATCTCATCAGTGTACTTTTTGTACTCATTTCTCAGTCTCTGACCCTGCAGGGTTTTGTTTATCCTCTGCCGCCCCCTGCTGGTCCTCATCAGCAGCGTCGCTTTTTGATGAGGTCAGAGGTCACCGCAGAAAACATGGCGGCGCCCACTAAAGCGGCCGTGGTGCTGAAGGCTGTGAAGAAAATCATCGTTCAGTTTTGTCCCTTCGAGTCCAATGTTCGCTCAACACGGTAAGAAATGCGCGTTAAATGCTGCTGCTGTGGGTCGGAGTCGTTTTGTGTGGCTGGACTGCGGATAAAAGTGGTATTTTGACAAGGAAACGAGCGACAGCGACGGTTTCTAACCAGATGTCAAACCTTCAGAGGAGATACTGGCTTGTTATTGAAGGGACTGTGGTTATGAAGCCTTGCTGACACATTAAACACGTCTGAATTAAGGATTTCCTGCATGTTTCACATAGTCTTGGTTACCTTGTTGAAGTAGAAAGCAGTAACTGTGTTCCACACATCAGCTCTGGCTGCTCTGCCTTGTAGCATCTGGTTCTGTCATTGAAATTGTCTTTTGCACATTTTTAGGGTCCGAGGACCCCTACTTGCTGCAGCAAGTTAGTTTAGTTGTTTTAGTTGTACTCGTGTTTTGTTGCGCATTTTTATGCACTACACTTCACATAGGACATTACTACTAAGAGTTTTTATTACACTTATTACACATTTTTCATTTTATATTTTCTTATTGTTTATTTTTTGCTTATTTATCTGAATTTATGGTGGTGGTAGCTTTAGTCTTTGTGCTGTTGTAACTAAAATTTCCCTTTACCTTCAACAAAGTATTGCTACTCTATTCAATTCTATTTTTGTTCCTTATATTGAGCTTAATTACTTTTAATCCATTAAATCGACTGCCAGCTGTTGTGATACTCGATTATTTGGTTTGTGTCAGGTTTTCAAGAAAACAACGTCAAAATTCTCTAATTCTATCACCTTAAATTTAAATATACTCTGCTCTCTGTACCCTTCTGTAGTAGTAAACTGAATGTTTTTGGGTTGTGGACAAAACAAGACGTTTTAGGACATAATCTTGGGATATTTTACTTTTTTTTTTTGGACATTTTATTGACGGAGTGCCTCCTGTCAATGTCTTGTCTTTGAATAATTGGTAGAATCATCAACAGAATAATCGACACTGAAAGCAACCCTAATGCAGACCTGCACATTATATGAATTTACTTATCATATGGTTTGGTATAAATGTCTTTAATATAAGGTCTAACCTGAAAAAAATAAGATGAAACTGACTTGATAAAAGTAATGTAAAAAAAATTATTCCTGTCCACTCAAACAGCTTTATTCTCAGTTCTGGCTAATTAGACGGCCTAGTTTAACTTTTGGTTGAGCTATTAGGAGATAACTAAACCTCATTAACAAATAAGAGTAGTAAAGATTCAACCTCTCCCACCCCAGGGTGCAACAGAACCAGTATGAAAGTCATATAAATGTGAAGCAAATAGGTGTAAACACCTGTTGTCGTTTTAAGAGTGTGTTAAGGGACTCCTGAAATGCAATCTAAGATGAAAATTATTTTAATCTGGAGCAAATTGTTGTCCTGATACACTGTGGAAGCCCAAAATGTAAACAGATATTGTGTCCTCTATCAGAAATGTTAGTCTAGTAAGAAGTATTTAGATGCTTTCCTCAACTTAATGTAATACCACACTGTACAACACTCTATTTCACGTAAAACTCAAATAAAACTTCCCTTAAATGAAAACAGAGAGAAGTATTACCTGAAAAATGCACTTAAAATAATAAGAGCTCATTGTATAGGAAGCGTGTTATGTGTTAGTGGAATATTGTTACTGATGTACATTTAGGTGGAGCTCTTTTTTATCTTGTTTACATACAGCTGTTTGGTTTGATGTGAAGCATTGTGTAGTATTTGTGCGATCAAGGTACATTTGCTTTATAATGTCTGTGTCTCGGGCTGCAAGGTGGCTCAGTGGTTAGCACCGTTGCCTCGCAGCTAGAAGGACGCTGGTTTGCGTCCCAGTGAGGACTTCTCCCCGTGCAGTGTGGGTTCTCTCTGGGTTCTGCGGCTTCCTCCCACACAGTCCTACATGATTCTAAATTGTCTGTAGGTGTGAATGTGAGTGTGCTTGGTTGTCTGTCTCTAAGTGTAGCCCTGTGATAGACTGGTGACCTGTCCAGGGTGTCCCCTGCCTTCACCCTGAGTCAGCTGGGATAGACTCCAGCCCCCCAGGACCCTCGTGAGGATTAAGCGGTGTATAGATAATGGACGGATGGATGGGAAATATCACACAGGGTCTCCTTCCCTTGTGAAAAGTGCAAGACCTCAAAATTGTACTGACATACAGTACTTGAACAAATATTTTATTAAACCTGAGTCTTTTCCGTGTCCCACAGGGAGTTTCTGGCCTTGGTGGCCTCGGAAAAGGCCCGATCTACTAACTTGAACTGTGAGGTGATAACCACGGTGAAACACGACAAATCTGAACCTGTCGTGGACGTGACTTTTGGTAAGTATGATGGAACTGCACTCAGATGTGTAGGAGAGGATACGGGCAGCGTGGTCGTGGCTGAAGTGCAGCATGTGCGGCTTCGCTTCCTGCTATTCTTTGAATCCACAGACGGTAGTTGCTGTTTACTGAGCTGTTTGAAGGAGTCCACAGTTTAGCTTTTGAATAGCACAGCATTACTAATTTATGTACTAGAAAGTAATCATGAGTGCAAAGTGTTGTAGTTGTTGCATTTAATCAGATGGATAATGAAAAAGTGAGTGCAAAGTAAAAACTTTTACTACATCATTGAATTTCCCTTCTGGGATAAATAAAGTATTTTTCATTTCATTCATTCATTTCATCATGCCGGCACAAGTTAGCTATTAAAGAAGACAAACTGAACTATTGTCTATTATGTTCAATGACTTTTTCACAGTAGAGAAAAGTTGGATTGTGTTTCACCGTTCGCTACAAGACTTCTGCTTTCAGGCTAAAACTTGTTTTTTCTCTGGAAAATCTCTGAGTGATGAGGAGGAGGCAGAAGAAGACACTGTCATAACATTACATGAATTGCGCCTTTATTTCTTTTTCTTTTTTTCTCTTTAGGGCAACGAGTACAGTACATAACATTAAAATAGCTGTTGCCCTGAAACTTGTCCTCTCTAGACACATTATGGCAGCCTGCAGTAACTTAATCAGCATTCACTCCGCTGTGGCTGCAGCTATGTGCTGGTAGCGTTGCTTCTTTCACACAGTAGAGTGACTCACTTCCCTCAACACTGGGTCTACGTCAGGTTACCCACAAAGCCAAATTTCTTAAAGGTAAAGGCCAAGAAGAAGAGCATCACTCAGATTTCATCTTCTCACCGGCTCGGTGCTTGTCATCGTGTGGAGAAACAAATGCTCGACTATTGTTTTTTTAACTGTTTTAAGTTTTAATTTCCGTGGCTTCAGGTGGATTCTGTCCTCTACTGATATCTCTTTATGTTGACAATAAACTTCCTTTGAAAGCACCATCATGTCCAACACTACTACTTGTTCATTGAGCTAAAAAAAGAGCAACAAGATGTCTGTAAATGCAGCAGAACAACTCATGACTGTATGTCTTAGTCTGGGTATTTCATGCTGATGATTTTCGCAGCATGATCTCATACACCCACACAGTGAGCCGTGCCTTTCAGCAAAAGTAGAAATATCCGCCATAGGTCAGCAGAACAGCGTTCCGATGAACCTCATTGTGTTGCTTGACTTCTGCTCAGAGTCAACTTCTCGACCGTTGACTCCTTGTCCTCCTTGAGCGTTGCGTCACTGTGACTCATTTCATTGTGTCTCCACAGTGGATGGAGAGCGGCTGCTGTTGAAGGGGGCAAAGTTGAGCCGCAGTGAGATGCTGAGCGCGTTTCAGTCCTACTGCGCAGCAAAGGACCCACTGGGAAAAGCCGGAGCGAAAAAATGACCATGTTCTGTATATCTGTGTTCAATTTATTTGTATTTATGTGTGTGTGTTATTAGACATGTCCAATAAAAACCACTTTGCTGGATACATGCAGCGCTTCTGGTGTTAGTGAATTTAAATCATGATATTGAATCAATTACACATTTAAGAATGAAATAAGTGTTTTTTGCAGTTAGCCTGAACTTTACCACTGTCAAATGTTAAAAAAAAAAAAAGTTAATCATTTACACATCAATCAGATCAATTAAAATGCTTTAACTGCTAAAAGTGTGCAGTGATCAGTCCAGGGTCACAGCGTGTCCTTGCATAATGTGAAAAATTCCTGATAAAAGAGACCATTCCAGTGTTTGAGAGAACATTATGCAAGCACCAACCTTTGACACAGCGGGCTTAAATGTAATTTGGCACTGGGTTTTAGATGCAGCTCCACTGAAAAGAAAAAAAAAAAAGCAGCCTCTCACCCAGTCACAGATGACTGAAATCCCGTTCCCTCTTCTCGTTTCCATCTGTTCCATTAGCATCTGGAACTTAATGGATTTTTTCCACTGATACAACATTATTACATCCACGGTTTTCACATATAAAATCTGTGAAGCAAGTCTTTGTGATATCGTTTTTGTGTCACAACTAACAATTTCATTTGTATTAATGCTTTATAAATAAGTTATAATCATTAATGAACATATGGATTGTAAGGCAGTAATATATCTGAGTAGCTGGTGTTTATGCCTCTTATTTTGTCGTAATACTCTTTAAAATGTCAGCAATTCATCATGTAAATGCTAATGGGTTTGTTATTTCTAACAGGTGGGTTAGAAATCTGCATTATTAATAATAATTAAGCATTGTGTGATTCAGTTTTGAATTGCTGGAGATAATCAACCGGTATTAGGACCAGTCATAAAGATATCAGCTGTTCATATTGTAGATATCTGCAGCTGAATTACCAATATTTGTATTGATGTATACATGAGTGGTAAAAATTACGTTGTTTATCCTATGAAGAAAGACATTGTGAATATCTGAAATGTGTTTTTATGCCTAGATAGAGTTGAATTAAGGGTATTTGCTATATATATATATATATGTCACAGTCCAAATTAAAATCCTCAATTTTAATTTGGACTGCGACAAATATATAGTGAGGTGTGGCACATTGCAAGGTGTTATTCTGATATAATCTCCACACTTCACTATGGTGTGAAGCTCACATTCTTTAATGCTGTAACCATCACGCCAGCATTTTCATTCAAATACATTTGAAGAGGTGTGATACATCTTTTGTCATGTTTAACAGTCACACAAGGCTGGTACAAATACTACATATATATGGAGGATTTTGATTTGGTCAAGATGGAATCAAAATTTTAGTTTTGCCCAGGCAGATTTAAAATCTGCCTAGATTTTAATTTGGACTGTGTCATATATATCCAGTCTTGCAACAACAACAATAAAAATAGTTTAGATGATTCCTGTACAGAAGTGTTGAAAACATAAAAGTTCTTCAACAGTTTTAAACTGTAATTTGTTGAAAATGTTGCTGTTATTTTACAGAAATCCCCTGTCTTAACTTCCAGGTAATAACTAGTAAATTTACAAAAAGGATAAATTTACATGTCAACTTGCCAAAAATGTAGAATAACATCCATATCAAAAAATGTGTATCTCTGGAAATGAGAATTTGTTTTTTTCAGAAAATTGGACCACAAAACAATGTTGTTGTTTTTAAATCAGCACAAACTATAATTTTACATTTACTCGCTGTAATTGAAAGTCAAGTTATGTGTTAAAGCTTGAAATTCAGTCAATACGTTTTGACAGTTTTTTTAAAAAAAAAAACAGATTTTCCCTGTTTTATGAAATTACAGATAATATCTAGTAATATCACAGAAAAAAAAGTATTTATTTACATGTTGACTGTTAAAACAAACATCTGCCTATAATGATGATCATTCTTTTGGTTGCAGTATTTAAATCAGCTAAAAACACCCTTATTTTACAGGCACTCTGTGTTATTTTCGCAGGTTTTTACAGCTTTTTAATGGTGAAGTATTTCACCCCTTTTAAAATAACTGAGACAAAAATCTATTAAAAACCCCATTCATGAGAAAAGTCACTGACATACATGGCTAGTAGCTGAGGGGCGGGGCCTCACGAGTTCCGCTATGTGACGTAACAGGCTGTGATTGGCTCCTCCTGCGCTGCCGAGCGGCGGACTGTCCCTTTAAAAGCGCTCAGTTTGTTCCCACAGAGCTGAACCAGAGTCACTGCTCGGTGCATCGGTCAGGATATCATCACTCCAGAGGCTGCAAACATGGTCGACAAGTTTGTTGGAACATGGAAGATGGTTTCCAGCGATAATTTTGATGACTACATGAAAGCAATTGGTAAGAGAGTGAAGCTAGTTTGAAGGATAAACATCATACACCTGCTAATTGAAAAGTACAGTTATGCTAGCTTTTTGAAGTTAGCCTCAAGTTTTAGTGTGAATATTTTTGCTTTAAGTAACTAAAATGTAATGTAGAAATAGTTTGGACTTTCTAAATATGTGAATTAGCTGGAGTTGACTCAGTTTTTTTGTTTTTTTTTGCCCTCCGCCCCGCAGGTGTGGGCTTTGCCACCCGGCAGATGGGGAACCGGACCAAGCCCAACCTGGTGGTGTCCGTGGACGAGCAGGGCGCCGTTTGCTTGAAGTCTCAGAGCACCTTCAAAACCACCGAAATCAAGTTCAAGCTCAACGAGCCGTTTGATGAGACGACCGCAGACGACAGGAAGACACGGGTTAGTGCGGACTGAGAGAAGCAGAGAGGAAAGAAATCTCAGTGTGTTTTTTTTTTCTGAGCTGGAGGTGAAGTGTTGTGTGTTTTGTGCCCTGCAGACCGTGGTGACTCTGGAGAACGGGAAGCTTGTGCAGAAACAGAGCTGGGATGGCAAAGAAACGAATATAGAGAGGGAGATCGACGATGGGAAATTGATAGCGGTGAGGATTTGAGATTTTTGTTGCTTTTTCTGGGGAATCTGATTGGTATTTAACTTATCAACCTTTTAATTCTTTCAACTACTTTTTTGCAGTGGTCTCCACAATCACACATCTGTGGATTTGATTTGCTAAATTTGCATAAAAGCAAATCACTTGACACTTATTTATCTTTTGATTTGCAAAACTTGCATTTTTAAAATCTTTCATACTGCTTTATTTCTTCTATTTGTTTTATTGTTATGCACCAAAACACCAAGTCAAATTCATTCAAACCTGATTGTGGTTCCATATTATTCTGCCTTTATTCCCACTAAGCCTGTAATCTAAGTTGCACTACAGTTCTACTACAGAAAATGCAACTCTAGCAGGAACCTTGCAGGACAAAAGAGTTGCATCATAAAAACTCTTGTAAAGTAACAGATGTGGCCCATATTCACCATCGCTTCTGTTTTCAATCCAAAAAACTCATCTGATCTCTCCTCTCTTCACACAGAAATGCATAATGGGAGACGTGGTCGCAGTGAGGACGTACGTTAAGGAGTAACGGCGGCTGCTTTTTTTTTTCTCAGCCCACTCGTTGGATGCATTGCTGGACGACAGGCTCAGTTCAATGAGCGCAATACCAAACTAAAGTAACAGCGTGTTCTTCTTCTTCTTCCTCTTTTATCCTCACTGTGTTGCCAAAATCAAATTTCTGTGCCTCTGTTCTCCAACATGACACATTTGGTTTCATTTGGAATTGTTGTGGTGATTTGAATAAAAATGAATGAAAAATTTGTCAAAGCGGCGCCTCCTGTGTTTGTTTTGTTTTTTTGAATATCACTGTGATGAAAGTCAGTGAGTTGGTCATTAACGGTGTGGCGTTCAATTAGGGTGTTCTTCAAAGCATTCCGATCATCAGGGCATGCCGAGGAATGCCGTACAAAAATGTGCCCTAATGGGAACTTTAATCTGACAGGCTGATTTCCTGACTTTAATGCTTTATTCCCATGTTTGATGAAAAGTAGTGTAATTATTCCACATGCAGGGACTTTTTCCAGCTGCTCTGAGTTTTTTTTTTTCCTTATTTTGGTCAGATAACCAAAGCAAAGGTCAAGAAGCAATCCATCCTGCTGTTGCGATGATATATGATGTGTGTTGGCAGGGACTCTTTGAGGAATGTGAACTCTTTTTAGAAGTATTGAACGCAGCCATGCGGAGAGGTCAGTAGGGAAACGTATCCCCTCTTCCTTTTTGGGAGGTTGAACATTTCCCATTGCACATGTTCTGGCAGCTGCACATGGAGAAACTAGAAAACATTACGGCTCGTCCCCACACATGTCCTCCCCTCCCCTACCCTCCACCCTTTTGGCCACTGGTCAAGTTTGTGTGTTTTTGTGTGTTGGGGAGATTGTTCGAGAGGCGACTGCTACTTTCCCATGACAGGAAAAGGGAGACGATAGTACTGATTGGACCTAATGGCCAAAACAGCTGAACCAGGTGGAATCGTGCGCCAACGCTCAGCCTGGACAATAGAACCGGCAGCGGTCAAGGACGTACAGCATCTGAACTTCTGGGGAGATGCCAAGCGAATGAGAATATCACAGCAGACAGCCAGCAAAGGCCGAGGTAGTAGAGCTGTATTAGTGTGTCGCTTAACACCACATTTTTAATTTGTACAGTTGAGGAAACATTTGTTTACTCTATAACTCAGACCAAAGGAGCGCTGAAACCCAGCTCCCCCTCTGTGGAATTTATGAAAGTTCATGAGCTAAACTTGTCCCCATCAATTGAAAGGAAAAGATTTATTGCGAATCATCTCTTTTATAGAATAAAATAAGGATACTTATAAAGAGATTTGTGAAATTATAGCTTGATATCAAATACTTTCTGAGATAGTTATTTTTAAAAAATTGCACGCTGGTAAACTTTCAGCACATTTTTTCAACAAATCTTTGGAATAATTAAAGATAAAAGCCTGAAATTTTTACTTTTTATTTCTCAACATGTCATTGATTTAGAAGTTGTCCAGTATTACAGACTGAACTCTGTTCTACTTAGATTAGGCTCGTACAATTTGTTAAACTTGTGCCATCAGTTATAAAAGTTTTTTAAACAGTCATATTCAAA